AAAATTATATATATATATATATATATATATATACACAGTTGTGCTCATAAGTTTACATACCCCTTGCAGAATATGCAAATATGTTAAAAATTTTAACAAAATAAGAGAGTTCATGAAAATCGCATGTTATTTTTTATTTAGTACTGTCCTGAATAAGCTATTTCACATTACAGATGTTTATATATCATCCACAAGTAAAAATAATAACTGAATTTATAAAAATGACCCCGTTCAAAAGTTTACATACGCTTGAGTCTTACAGTGATACTGTGTGTATTTTTCCAACAACGACTGTATGATTTTGAGATCCATCTTTTCACACTGAGGACAGCTGAGGGACTCGTATGCAACTATTACAGAAGTTAAGAGCCGGGGGGTGAACACTTTTGAACAGAATTAAGATGTGTAAATTTTTCTTATTTTGCTTAAATATCATATTTTTTCGTTTAGTACTGCCCTTCAGAGGATACAGAAGATAGTTACATGTTTTTCAGAAGACAAAATAAGTAAAATTTACCCTGATCTTCAAATTCAAAAAGTTTTCACCCCCGGCTCTTAATGCATGGTTTTTCCTTCTGGAGCATCAGCGAGCGTTTGAACCTTCTGTAATAGTTGCATATGAGTCCCTCAGTTGTCCTCAGTGTGAAAAGATGGATCTCAAAATCATACAGTCACTTTTGGAAAAGGTTCAAATATGCAGAAGATGCTAGAAAACCAAAGAACGTGCAGGAGCTGGGGGATTTTTTCTGAAGAACAGCAGGCAGCTTAACTGTTCAGGACAAACAAGGGACTCATGAACAACTTTCACAAAACAGAAAAACAGTAGTGGATCATCAAGGAAATAACACACAGTATTAAGATTCAAGGGTATGTCAACTTTTAAACGGGGTAATTTTTATAAATTCAGTTATAATTTTTTCTTGTGGAGTATATATAAACATCTGTTATATGAAATTGCTTATTCAGGACAGTACTAAATAAAAATATCATGCAATTTTCATGAGCTCTCTTATTTTGTTAAAATTATTAACATATTTGCATATTCCACAAGGGGTATGTAAACTTATGAACACAACTGTATATATATATATATATATATATATATTCATATAGACTCGTATTTTAGCTGGAAGCTAAAAACATCTTAGTGCTGGATTTGTTTGAGCTTTTGTCTTCTCCAGATGTTAACTGATGGACTGGAGTGCTGTGGATTACTTGTGGATTATTGTGATGTTTTTATCAGCTGTTTGGACTCTCATTCTGACGGCACCCATTCACTGCAGAGCATCCATTGCTGAGACACTGATGCAATGCTACATTTCTACAAATCTGATGAAGAAACAAACTCATCCTAATAGTGGATTGTCTGAGGGAGACAATATTTTTAGCAAATTTAAATTTAAATTTTTTTGGGTTAACTGTTGCTTTAAATAGTACTCTTGCTGATACCCTTCCTTCCTTCCTTCTGTCCCGCTTCTTCCATCCTTCCTATTAGTATTCCTCTGCTGACTGTGCAATCGTAATGACAAGACACCACTCTTCACTTTCTCTCATGCTGTTGATCTCAGGATGGCTGCGCTCCAGCGGCTCATCGATCCACAATAGGGAAATTACATTTCCCTGATTCTCTACAGAGCTTTTAGTTACACTGCTTACACGCGCGCGCGCGCACACACACACACACACACTCACTCACTCACTCACGCACGCACGCACGCACGCACTCACTCACACACACACACACACACACACACAAACTTCACTTCCTCGTGTTTATTCAGAGAAGCTCTTTTACATAGAAACTCGAGCACATGTAAGGACAGTTGCAGTTGTGTACTTTCATAGGATATTCCTGCATTCCTGCTCACTGAGGCCTGAGATGGACATTATCATATTGCAATAAATGAATATCATGAGAGAAATTCTGGCTCACAGGTCTCTTACAAATTTTTGATTCGGTCATTTGTTGATCTGTCTGTTTCTGGTCTCAGTTGCTGAGTTTTCAAAAAAAAATGGGTGAATGAGTTTTTCACCCATTTTATCACTTAAGGAGAGCAACAGCACAAAAAGGAAAAATGAAGAGCCTATAAAGCAGCAGTTATAAGTCTGATTAAGCAGCCAGTGGTATACGCTAACAGCTCTAGAAATACTACTGTATAAACCATGAAAGACTTGGATTGTGTGCTAGCAGGTTTAGCGTCTGTGTGACCCACCTGCAGTCCAGGACCAGCGGCCGTGTTTAATTCAGTAGTGTCTGCCGCCATCGGTGACACTGGGCTGTTCTCCTGTGCTTCTGTGTCCTCACTCCAGACCTCAGACCTCAGCAATATTTCTGAACGGATGCAGGGACCGATGGGAAGAGGTCCTCTGTTATTTGGGTTGGTATATGATCTATCATGTCTTGTTTACACTCATCCAATATTTACGTCGTTGCTCACTCACACATTCACAGTCTGGACTTTTTGAATTCTACACTGCATTTATTACTTCTTGTACACTGCATACTGGTTATAATTCTTACTTCTTGTATTACATTTGGCCAGTAAAGAGAATAATTAAAATTATCTTAACTTAAATATTCATAAAAATGCATATGCAAATATTGCTTGGCTACAAATATATTCTATTTGTCTTGTTTATTTTAAAAGGCACAAGTCTTGACTGTAGATGTAGAGAAATAGAAAGTGCCACGACTCAAATTTCACTGTGAATATCCGAGCCAAACCTTTTATTGTCCAACTGGGGGTTGTGTTACACATGAAGGAAATTCAATAACACACCCTCAGGCTTTACTCTGTAAAACATTATAAATGTAAATATACTCTAATCTTGTTTTCTTTTCCTTTCTTATCTTGAATGAAGGAACCCTTGGAATGCTTTTTGAGACACTGAAATCTTGTTTTGAACATTCTGATGATTCCTCTTCCTTCTTTCATGATATGCTTTAATGAAGGAAGAACAGTACTGTCTCCATTTACTCCAAACCCATACCACTTTAGCAAAATGCCAGAGCTCCTCTTTTCCATTGAGTGCGAGCATAAACAGGAGCTGCCAAACAGGGGGAAAAACAGTATACAACTCACACACTATTTCTGAGGTCATACAATCTGCTCATTAAGTCTGACATCATGGCTCCAAACTGAAATCAGATGCCAAAAGCAAACAAACAGTGCTAATATACACTCATGGACGCTTGTTTCCACCCCAGGATTAAAAAAAGAAGGTAATTGCGACAATTTATCTCACAAATCAGATTTTTTTCTTGCAATTCTGATTTTATATCTCACAAATCAGACTTTTATATATATAGAGTTGTGAGATACAAACTTGCAATTGCGAGAAACAAAGTCAGTATTGTGAGATTCAGAAAGAGATTCAGTCTGAATTCTTTGTCGAATGAGAAGAACAGTCAGAATTGTGAGATAAATTCCACGCATGCAACCATCTTTTACTTCGTGGCTTCTATACACAGTGTCCTGACCTTTATGTCCATACCCAAATCTCAGATGGTCAGACAATGAGTCATCTTTTATGAATGTTTAAAATATTGATAGAAAAGGAAATGAGTAGAGGCTTGGACACGGAACCAGAATTCCTTATGTCACGATTTAACAAGCGAACAGCTTTGCCCCGGTTTCACAGACAAGGCTTAAGCCTAGTCCCAGACTAAAATCTAAGTCTGAGCTGTTTCAACTGAAAGAAACTTGCACTGACTGATCTATCAGTGCCTTTGTTTTGTCTCAAGATGCACACCAGTAATGTTTTTTTCTAAGGCATATTTATAAAGATGACTTAAATCTCCTAATTGATCTATGGCCTAATCCTGGCTTAAGGTCCTTGCACACTGCGTCTGGAATTTTCATATGCGTTTTTTCGTATTCGTCATCCTTTCTTATCAAAATGCTTGCTACGGATATAAAAACATAGAAAATGTAACCTGATCCGATTTTTTTTACGACGGAAGAAACTTTCAGAGGCAGTGTGTAAACATGTTTGACACAGCATGAAATTGTATTTATTTTGTAATGTACGAAAATTTTGGACGAGAATTTAAGACTCAGTGTGCAAAGACCGTTAGTCTAAGCCCCGTCTGTGAAACCAGGCCTTTGTGTGACAAACAAGTTCCAGTAATAATAATCAATTAATAATTTAATTGAATAATAATAATAATAATAAAAATGGATTTAATTTCAGCTAATACTTTATCAATTTGCACTGGCTACCAATAGCTGCTCTCATAAAATTCAAGGCATTACTGTTCGCCTATAACTGGCTCTGTACTCCTTTACCTAAATTCATTACTTCAGACTTATGTGCCTCTAGAAGCTTGCGTTCTGCAAGTGAACATCGCTTTATTGTTCATCCCAAAGAGGCACAAAATCACTTTCACAGACTTTTACATTAATTGTTCCTTCCTGGTGGAATGACCTGCCCAACTCAATCCCAGCAGCTGAGTCCTTAACCATCTTCAAGAATCGACTAAAAACACATCTCTTCCATCTTCATTTGAACCTCTAACTCTAGCACTCTATTCTAATTCTATTCTTTATAAAAAACCTGCCCCTTTTAGGCTTGCACTTTATTCATTTACTAATGCTTGTTTCTCTTAAAAAAAACTAACACTAGCTTCTCTATTCTTTTTATATTCTGTCTATTTGTTTTCTTTTTATTTATTATACAATTAACAAAAGCAAAAAAGGCCTCTAACACTAGCTTGCTCTATTCTTTTTATATTCTATTTGTTTTCTTTTTATTTTTGTTATAGAATTAAAAAAAAAAAACTTGCTATGTGTACTGCGTTAAGCTAACTGAGACTTGTTATAGCACTTGCGTATCATTGCTCTTCTGTTGATTTTGATGAGGTTGCATGCATACTTTTAAGGATCTGTTCCCTTCTTGCTGTTGCTGTATGGAAAAGAGCTGCTTGGAAATCCTGCGCAATATCTCCATTTGTTTCGTTTGGCCTGCTCATGATGTGATGTGAAGTGAGAGGTGAGGAGGAGGCAGAGGGATGTTGGGAATGATCCTGTGATTGGAGCAGCGGCGCTGGGCGTGGAGGAGCAGCGTTCAGAAGATGCAGTGAACTGAATGAGATGCGGCTGAGCTTCGAGGCGACACTCCTGCAAATGCGCAGCGCGTGATTTATCGTGTTTTATCGGTGGTCAGCGCGTCATCTCTGCCGCTCGCTGTCGCGTTAAACACCGCCGCTGCTCTGAAGATCTGCCACCGTCTACGCGAGCTTTCTCATGTGAGTTACCCATCATCTCTGCTTTATGTTCGTTGCATATGACGGAGGATATTATAGCTGTGGCACCTGCAGTAGCTCGCGCTCATCATCATCATCATCGCTTCAAGCGTTCATTCGTTTGCAAGCCGTATTACTGGGTAGATATCGCAGGCTTAAACAAGGGATTGTGAAGCATTTAGCAATTCTGACGTAGCCGCAATATTTTGCAGCTTAAATAAAAACTAGCGTCTTTATAATTGTTATTATTAAGCCTTCGTCGATTAGATCCGCATTGGTTAGCATTTAGAGGCCAAACTCTTAAAGTGACATTTGCCCATGCTATAAGTATTTGTATCATGTTTCATAGCACCTCGTTTGAAAAAACAAAAAAAAGATACTCAATGCTTTTCCTGATAATTTCGGGTTTGTTTGTTTTTTGTTTTATTGCACTTTTGCAAAAAGAAGTGAAAACATGCTCAATGCTCATACATAAATTGTTTTATAAGGTTTTATTTCATTATTTTTGACATTGACCTACCGCTTGATTGTGCATTAAATTAAGAAACTCGTAAAAGATGTGTCGTTTTATGTGCCTTCTGTTTATATAATATGCAAACGTGTGCTTACTTAACGATATATATAAAACCAAATTTGCATACAAGTTTACAGTTTAAAGTGGAGAAAACATGTACATTTACATAGGCCTACACATTTTTTTTTTTATTTCACCAAAGAACATCTAACCCACAACCAGACTAATTATTTGAAACTAGAGGACATTTGCACCGGTGTCAAAAAAAAAAAAAGACACCTGTGTGCATGTGGTGCTTTCTGTTGGCGAATGTGGCAGGTTATTCCATGCAGACAGAAATGAAGATTTATTATTAGCAGTCCTGGTGTAACCTGAAACTGAATATGATTCTTGAATGCCGTTGTGATGAATATGTTGTTCCCACAGATGGACGTGTTATCGCTGATGTTTGGGAAAATGCGTCAGTGCTGCCGCTCCCCTGCGGTTCGATCTTGAGCGGCACAAACGTGTGACTGATTCAAACCATGGAGCCCAAACCCGACTGCTGCGCCTCATCCGTGCCCAACTCTCAGTGCGAGCTGCAGCTCAACATCTACGAGACCATCAGCGAGGGGAATGTGAATAAACTGGAGAGCTCAGCGCTGGTGCGCGCCGGCAGCGACCCTAGCTCCTATCCCTCCTCCAAACGCCAGAGGTTCATCCGCAGGAGCCTGTGGTTCACCGATAATGACGAGCCCCAGGCCGACGACTGCAACCCGGAGTGCGAGGAGCAGAGGAAGATGCTCAGCATCAACCTGAGGACCATTGTGGACCGAACCCTGGCCGTCCGATCCGGTTTACAGGAGGGATCGAGCACGGAGAGCCAGAAGGCCCAGAAGGAGCTGGAGAGCGGCAGCGCAGACGAGGAGCGAACGGAGCTCAGAGCGGACAGCGTGAAGACTCACGTAAAGGCGGCCAGCGAGGAGAACGAGGAGGAGGCTGAGATGAAGGCCGTGGCCACCTCTCCCGGCGGACGCTTTCTCAAGTTTGACATCGAGATCGGCCGCGGCTCCTTCAAGACGGTCTACAAGGGCCTGGACACGGACACCTGGGTGGAGGTGGCCTGGTGTGAACTTCAGGTGTGTTTCCACATGTTCTCGATGATCAGTGTGTGCATGTGAAGTGATGGTGATACTGTGGTGCTTTCTCTGCTGAAAAAAAAAAACGGTTTACGGTAGGGCTGCACGATAAATCGAAATGCAATCGCGGTTAGGCAAAAGCTGTGATAGCCATGCGCATCTTGTCAGTGAAGCATGGCTCTGTGTAGTAAATGCTGCTCCATCTGAAAGCAGGTGATGGAGATTTACTACTGATCACAGAACCGGCTTTACTGACAAGATACGCATGACAATCGCATTCGATTAATCGTGCAGCACTAGTTTAAGGGCCTGTTCACACTTGGCCTCTTTTTTGACAAGAAAAAGTTGACGAGCGCTTTTTTAGTAAAACACAAAGCTGTTTTGGTTACAAACAGCAGCCGAGGGCTTCTTTTGTTGCTGTAACAACAGCTGCATCAGTAGCCTAGTGCTGTGTGCTGCAGAAATGTCGAGAATGAGTAAAAAGTTGGCTCTTGCGCTGGCTTTTGAAGTTAACCTGGAGGAGAATGTCGGTTCACAATGATGTTTGTGGGTGCGCCACATTATACAGGGAAGGAAACATTATGGTGCTTACAACAATTAAGTCCAGGAGCTCCGGTTGGATGATGCACGGTTCGCGGCATATTTTAGACTAGATTGAGTTTTGTGCTCATATCATAAAACTCCTTGTGCTCAGAAACTAGTATGATCTATCTTCCGGCTATCTTCTCCATTTTTTTCTTGTTGTTTTTGTTGTTATGGAAACGACTCGCTTGTCATTGGTCATAAGAGTAAGAGAACTTTATTGTCACTGTACATCATGTACAATGAAACTCTGGTGGAGCAACCTCCAGGTGCCTTCTTGAATCTTGATTCTTACAAATAGTGGTGTACCATGTACAAATCTGCACACACATATTATACACTAAAGGATCTACCATTATACAGTATAATATACAACATACATAGTACGTATTCAATACAATGCACTATACACAATGCAATATACAATATACACAATATGCTATACAACACAGTACACAGAGGACACATAACATAAGACAACAGATGTGCATAAATGCAAACATTATGTGCAATTAAGCAGGTAGTGACAAGTGCTGAGGTAGTGTAGTTGACATCTTGATCATGATGAATAAGATTTTACACAATGAAATATTGCACAGTAAGGTCACCTGGTGCTCGCTGACTGATCAACGATGCTGTATTTACAGTCTATGCCATGCATACCTTGCCAGTGTTTCGTTTAGGTTTCAGTCCCTCTTTAATGGTTGTTAGTCATACAGATATTTGTTCGTTATTGATGTTGAATCGAGTCACGGGTCCAAAACAGGTCTGTTGTAAAAGAGCAGACAGATTGTGAAGCTTGAGTCATCGGTGTGGGGCTTGTAGGTAAAACCTGCAAAGGTTTTTACTTGGAAGCCCTTCATTATTTCATCACGTATGAAAATATTCAATAAATCTTTATGGACAAACTGCAACCACATATGCAAAAATCTCAAGCTCCCAGTGGCCTGGGAAACATGGAATTTTTTTTATTACAAATTGAATGTCAAAGTAGCTTTTCGTGAGTAGGTTGGTTGCTTTTGGCTGTGGTTTATATTTGGTGTTTGATAACTATAACAATGGCTCACATAATGCTTCTGTTCAGATCTGAAGGGACATACAGTGTTTGTGACTGGAAGTGTTCAGTGTGAACGCTGCTCTCCGATGTTTATTTAGTGAAGGGTTGTTGGACTAGTATCTGTATGTCTAGTAACTGTTATCTCGTTCTTTAGCCTGGGCTAGTAATCTGTGACTCGGGCTTCAGGTTTTTATTGTTGAGCGCTGTAAAGACATGCAGATGACTTTAACACCTCTTCGAATGCATTTGAAAGCTTCAGCCTGACTTAAAACATGTCAGCTGCAGTTTCTCAGTGTGTGTATGTGTGTGTTTGCTCTGTCGATAAGCATCTGTAGCTGCAGGAATGTGGCGTCGCTGATGGGGATCTCAGACCCACAGAAACACACACTCCAGTCGTGTCCGGGTTTGTCTGCCCGTGTGTTTGGGCTAAATATGCTAAACACTGCAAACTTGGTCAGTACTGTTGTTCATTTGGTTCTTAAGAGGTTGGGCAATGGACCATGTTGAGAAATCGTTCTTTTCAGATCCGTTGGCCTTTTGCTGCAGGGAACTTCATTTAAGGGATTCAGACACTGATGGCTTTGCTTTATATAAGAGATCATTTGAAGAGGGTTTGGCTGGTGACAGATTGTTGATGATATTATTGACCTGTCAGGGTGTTTTGGCGCAGCTGTCCACCGATCCTCCTCCGTCACGCTCTCTGTCTGGATAGTGACCGCACACTATTCCAGCAGCATTGATTCTGGAGCACTGGCCATTTATTTTCTCCATAGGTACTTCAGAGCATAAACAGTTGAGCGTGGTGCTAGCAACAGCAAGGTTGTGGGTTCGATTCCCAGGGAATGCATGAACTAATCAAATGCATTCATTAAATGCAATGCAAGTTGCTTTGGATAAAAGCATCTGTCAAATGCATAAATGTCTAAATTCATAAAAAGTTGTAAGCCTTGGAGCAATGTTACATGTTGACATTATAAGGTAACCCTACATAACCTACATGCATAAAATCAGCACAAGCATACACTTGAGCTGTGTTAAAAAATTCAGTCTGTCTCTATTCAGGATTTGGCTCTTTTGCTTCTGTGAAGTTCCTCGTCATTCAGTAGATCTCATGCCAGGATGGAGTGGATTGTGGAGTCCTCCTGCTTCAGTCAAATCTGTTAATGGTCCTCTGGCGTCCTGCCTGACCGATGAAGCCACATCAGGTGAATTTGTGCTGTGTCAACAGCGCCTCATGTGAAATGCACTGAATGGTGCACAAAGCACAAACCCTGCTGCCAGCGCAGGAGAACAGGAGAGGAAGATCCGGATATCAACCTCAAACGTGAAACAGTACATCACTGCAGCCATAGCACTGAATTGAATTTGACAATTTGACAGATTTACAAATCAGTTTGTGTTTCATAAGAGAGGCTTAATAGCTGCCCACTGTTTTTTTTTATTCACCACATGATGCAACAAAAAAATCTCATTGTCACATGACCTCATCTTATTGCATGTGAGATTATGATCTGTGCAGTCGTACTGGTTTATTGTGTCATCTTAGTGGGAGATGTTCAGATCACTTTTACTGGGTTCATGTTGAAAGCGCTGTACGGTTCACAGATTGCAGGGTTCATGAGGCTCTTGTTGAAGTGATGTTCTCCGGCTCATGGCTCACGCCTGTCCTCCATTCAGCCTGTATTTAGTGTGTCACTCGTTCAGGTCTTTAAGTGCTCTCACACGTGTGCCGTCTGTTTGATGCACAAAGCTGCATATTTTCCAAATCAACTATAGGCAGAGCAGCCTGTTGATCTGAAGAAAGCCCGAGGTTGATGGTCATGTCCACCAAAGCTGAAGCTAGGATTCATAAGTTACATTTATTCTGCAAATCAGTTCTTTTGAAATGTACAGTTCATTTGTGTCATCACTCAAAATTGTGAAAAAGCAAAAAGTCAGAAAGTTGATTTCTGCATAAATGTGGCGTTCATTGAAGTCAAGTCATGAAATTATATAAATTTCCCTTAAATATGACTAATTTTCAAATTGTATTTATTTCTGAAAATGAACCAGGAGTATGGGGAGAGTGGGGGACGGTTGCAGGGGCAGCTTATTTCTTCAATCAGGAATGAGCTCCAGTGATGATATTCATACAGCACATGCTCGATTAGCCCCTCATGCTTCCTGGAAGAAATCAGCCACATGTGACCATTCCTAATACAAAAAATATTTTTCATGGTAAAAAAGTATTTTTTTAAAGGTCAGATTTTTTTTGTCATAGTGTTTGTGTGAAGCATTGTAAAACCATAACATTTTAATTATGCTTCACATGGTTGCAGCCGTCCCAACTTGCTGTCCCTTACTACAACGTTGATTTAAAAGCTTGCATTACATAATTGTATTTTTTTTTGATTAAACAAGAACCCCTTTCAATAGTTAGGTATCTCTCCTTTTAAGTAAATCTAGGTTAAAAATCTGCTTACTTGAAAATGTTTTTCCATTTTCTATTCTTTGGTTTTATCAGCCAATTTAACGTATTCAAGACTTAAATTAAATTGCAAAATTATATTCAAGAATGATTTTGATTACATTTTAATGAATGATGCAACCGTTCCCTGTTGGTGAGGTCAGTTGCAACATTTCACTTTGTCTATTCAAGTATAAATTGTACGTATATTATCATATGTAAACATGTTGCAGCAATGTAGGTGAGTAGCTGATAGATGTGGTTTTACCGTATTAAAGTTTTGGCTTTGTAATGTAAACAGTCTCTGAGAAACTAAAGGAAATGCAAAAAGTGTTGCAACCATCCCCACTCTCCCCCGATCTGTTTTTGGCATGTGTGGATGCAGAAGTCCAAAAAAAGTACTTTAAATGAAGCACTGAACAGTTAAATAATTGCATTAGTTTAAATTGATGAATTAAAAGGAACCCTTTTTGTTAACAGTTCAGATCCTTATTAGTTCGACTAGCCCACAGCTGAAACAAGACCAAGCCAAGGAAATATGAAGTTAGCGGCTGTGTTCATCCGTGTCGAAGGACCAGAAATAAGGATGCTGCTGTTGTGACTGCAGCGGGAGACGAGAAAGTGTGCGTTCACACAGGATGTGTTACTGTGCCCAAAAATAGCTGGAGTGAACAAAACAGAACAGAGCCGAATGCACCACTCGTCCTCAAACTAGCCTAGACACGAACACCATTTCTTTCTGATTCTTAACTCCTCATAGCTCAAGTGTAAGATGACGCGCTTTGGACCCGGACAGATCAGTGATGCAGTAAGAGATCTCCTCAAAATCTGTTACGTAAAGACTACATGAAACAACATTTGCAACCCAATTATCTTAGAATTTGCTGTGTTTCTGAATGAAGCAACAGCTCATTC